CTAATTAAATGGAGCCTACCCTTTTTGCAGTTTAGAAGATAAACAATTCCATTGAAACATAGGATCTTAAGATGGCTTGACAAGTTAAACACTTGAGAGGCTTGTTTCACTTGACTGGGAAATTTAGAACCAGATATTTATCAGCTCAGAATAAAGAGTTGACCATTTAGGACCAAAGTAAAGAGAAATTTCTTCACTCGGAGGGTTGTGAATCTTTGGAATTTTCATTTCCCAGACAGCTGTGAATCCTTGGTTGTTGACTATGTTCAAGACTGAGCTAGACCTTAGGACACTAACAGAACTGGGGGCAGGGAGATCAGACAGGAAGGTGCATTTGAGGTCAAAGTTTGGCTGCGATATTTTAAAAATTGTGTGGTAGGTTCCAGGGCATCCTCCTGTGTTTATTCTTCTTCATGTTCTTTTCTCATGTTCTTATCTGCCTCCAGATAATAAAGTTCCATTGATGGTACAGAGTTTGCATTTCACAAGAACATTAGGTTTGAAATCAGCAAAGAGCATTGGACCTGCTACCAATCAGTTGCCATTGCTGCAACCTGCTCAAGTCTATTGATGAAAACCGAGAAGCTACAGATAATGGTGGAAAGAATGATAACAGTGTACAAAGAATCATTTCTGAAGACAGATATGGGGCATGCTTGATGGATTGTGAGAGGTCATGTAGAGACTGCCATCGAGCTATTTATTGCATTCTTACCCATGTAATAAACTCTCCGTTTATTGTTGCATGCTCTCACTGTGGAAACAGAAAGGGACACTAGCTTGAATCTCCTGGGTAACTTCCATCTGCAGATTAAACCTCACTGTCATCTTGGAAATCCCCACAGTGGGATTCCCTATGATATAATGGATAAACATTGTAGAGTTGGGCTGGCTTCGAACTTTATCCTGTGCTGACTAAATGACCTTGGCCAGGACGACAGGATGGCTGTGACAATTGACATCTGGCCCCAGATAGGCAGTGAAAAAAGGCAGTTAGTTTTATTTTTCAAAGCCAGACTAGAATCAATATCTGTTGTGATACCTAGTGTAGCTAATCAGCACGTTAGTACTTGGTAGCTAAATATGGGTACTCTTATATGACATCCCAGATGCCGTTTATAGAATTGCCCCTGAAATCGTTGAACAAAGGGCACACAGTCCCACTGGTCAGGGCCGGGCCCAATAACCATGTTCTGGTCACAGTGTGTTGACACCATTGATCGAACTGATGCAGAGAGAGTTAGTGTAGAGTCATAGATGTCTGTAGCACATGAAAAGGCTGTTCAGCTCATTGAGTCTGCACCCGTCAAAAACAAGCTCTTCTCCTTAGTTAAACAGTCAATAACAAGGATGCAAAATTTTAAATTGAAAAGAGGGAATTTGAAGAGAAGCTTTTCCACCCAAAAGGGTGGTGGTGGTCTGGAATGCTCTGCCTGGAAGGGAGTTAAGGTAGGATACTTCTAAAAAATACTGAATGAGCACTTGAAGTGTCATAACATTCAAGGCTAAGGGCCTCATCTCTAACAGTATGATTCTGTGATTATAAGCACCTAACTGTTCTAATCCCAATTTCTAGCATTTGGTCTTCTATAACTTGACATTGTAAGTGCACATCCAAATACTTCTCAAATGTTATGAGGGTTTCTGCCTCTACCTCCCTTAACAAGCAATGAGTTCCTGATTCCCACCACCCTTCCTCACATCCCCTCTAAACTTCCTGCCCTTCACCTTAAATCTATGCTTCCCTTGTCATTGATCCTTCCACCAAAGTAAGGAAAAGTCCTTCCTGTTGACATTATGTATATTGTACCTGGGCTTTATCCAATCCCCACTGTTGTATCCTGTGTAAGATTGCATTGTGTAAGAGCTTTGGACCCTGGAGCAACCTCGTGATGATGTCACAGAGTTGCATATCACTGAGTATAAATAGCAGAGTGGATAGAGTTAGAACACTTTAGAACGAGAATCAGTCATGAGAGCATGAGGACATGAACACCCAAAGAAGATAGATTAGACCTTACCTAAAGTAAAAATATGTCAGAGCCTGGTATATATGTGATTAGCATGTGTAATTTTAATATATACTAAATAGTGTTATGATATGAGACTGCCAGCAGGTAGTGGCAGTGAGGGAGGTCTGCTGAAGAAATTGAATGGACCCTCACTGGAAAAGAAATGGTGTCTTTGGTGGGAGAATGGCAGATGGGAAGAGGATGGCAGACAGAAAAAGGATTCCAAAATTGAATTTATTACAGAGTCCATTGTATGTACAAACATCATTGTTTAATCTTAATTGCCCTTCATGTTTGAAATGGCCTGATGCCAGTGGAATAAAGAATTACTCCTTCATCTTTGGACTGTCGGTGTGTTCAAAACTCATTTAACAGTAACTTTGAAGTCTAAGCCTGAAGACAGTAATGATTTTGTCTTCTGCTTGACCAGTCTTATGAACTGAAAGTTATAATGTGGCATCATGCCACACAACAAGAGGATCGATCAGTTAATCCCATTAGGATGAACTCTACTGGCTGAGGTTACTTTTTTTATAATCCTACTGCAAAATCACTCATTCACTTCCTGTAATGATTTTGTGATAAGGATAAGCTTTGCTGCAAGTGGGAGGAACAACATTGAGTTCAATAGATATTACTTGTAGGCATGCTTTCCAGATTCCAGTTTGAACAACGCTGGAAGAGTCACTTCCTTGTGACTGGTAGAGGTGGCAGGTCAGAGCAATTTTCCAGCAGTTCTTCCACCAGATTTTAACACACATGAAATCTCATTGCTAAGTTTAAGAGTCACTGATCCAAACAACGAATATATCAGTCAGCCCAGTACACGCCCTGTCATGTTAACATCTCTGCCTCAGCCAGATAAGCAGCAGAGTCAGGCTTGGGAGTTTAAAGTGTGCGCAAAGCTGGTAACAAAAATGCTGGCACCAAATCAACTTCTTGACTTTTGTGATTGAACTTCCAAGTAAGGGAGTTCCTGAGTAAACTAGAACACTAACAAATTGACCAACTTCACTAATTAGGCTGGGCTGGGTGCTGATCTGGAGTCTCAGATACTTTCCATCTAAATTCAGACAGCTATTATCTGGACCTTTGGTAGACAGAAACAACATAGGTACAAGAGTCCCATATACAACTTTCATTCATATCATGACTGACATGTAGTCTCACTCTACCTACCAATCTAATTTCTCTCTGCAAATGCAGCCTGATTGACTTGTGCAGTGTTTCCAGTATTTTCATCTTAATATCAGCCTGTTGAGGTAATGTCAGATCGATTTCATCCACTCAAACTTTAAGAATCAACTGCACTGGCTTCACACAGCCTTCTATCCATGACCCTCAGCTGGAGATGGTCATTACTTGGCACTTGTGTATTGCAAATGCTACTTGCCACTTGACCCAAGCCGGGGTCTTGCTGCATTTGGACATTGACTGTTTTGGTATTTAAGGAGATAGCAAGAATTGCAGATGCTGGAGTCAGAGACAACACAGTATGGAGCTGGACAACGACAACACTTTCGGTCACCAGCCATTTTAATTCCCTCTCCCACTCCCTGGGTGACATGTCCATCCTGGGCCTCCTCCAGTACCATAATGACACCACCACAAACTGGACGAGCAACATCTCATATTCTGCTTCAACAGCCTACAGCCTCATGGCCTAAACGTGGATTTCACCGGTTTTAAAATCTCCCCACCCCCAGCCTCATCCCATGTCCAACCCTCCCTCTTATCCCCACCTCCTGACCTGACACAACCTATCCATCTTCTCTCCTACCTATCCGCCTAACCTATCCCACTGACCAATCGCCTAACCTATCCCACTGACCAATCCCCACCACTCCCTACCTGCACTCACCTATCACCATCCCACCTACCTTACCCAGCCCCACCCCTCTTCTCTATTTATTTCTGAGCTCCCACTCCCTCCCCATTTCTGAAGAAGGGTCCCGACCTGAAATGTCAACTTTCCTGCTCCTCTGATGCTGCCTGGCCGCCTGTGTTCCTTCAGCTCCACATTGTGTTATCTCTGACTCCAGCATCTGCAGTCCTTGCTATTACTAAAACATTCCCTGCTTATCTTATTAGCAATTTGAGAGAGTTTGCTTTACAAATATTGACTGTTGTTTCCAGAATGATTGTGCTTCAAGTATTTCTGTGCAATACTGAAATTCTGTTGATATTGATAGTGAAAGGTGCTATAGAAATGCAAGTCTTTCTTTTCCCAAAGTAGGCCTTCAAATTTAACTCTTTAACTAAGTCCTTTGTCATCTATTCTCAGTTTAGGCATCACAGTACAGTTGCTGTCACTTCTGCGAAGCATCTATTGTATAAAGGTAAAGTCAACGTAGTCTTACTGACTATAGGGCTGCTACATGATTAGAGAGTTGACTAGCAGTAGTTTAACCTGAGGCAAGGGGGATTGTCGAGGAGAAGACTCCTTCAATGGTAACCTCAGCCAGTGCAGGAATTAAACCAATACTGTTGGTGTTACTTTGCATCACAAGCCAGATTAACAGCCAACTGAGCTAACTGACCCCCATATTTGTTTTCACATTCACTCATTGGATGTGGGATTCACTGGCTAGGCCAGAATTTATTGCTGATTCATAACTGCCCTTGAGGTTATGGTGATGGGCTGCCACGTTGAGCCGCTGCAATCCATTTGGTGTAAGTAGACCCACAATGTCATGATGGAGCTAGCGCTAGAGTTTTGACCCAATGACAGGGAAAAAATGGTGATACATTTCCAAGTCAGGATGGCAATGTTCCCATATATTTGCTGCCCTTGTCTTGGAATATATTGTTCATGTGCAACATAAATGTAAATTATTGTTGATCTGGATTTCATCCATTGGTGTTCCCCTGCTAATCCACGGCTACAGAGCCTAAGGACCACCATCTTCATCCAGGCTTAGATCAGATAATCAAGTCCTTAATGCAACAGGAAAATGAGGATGAAAGGACATCACAACAAGGGAACAATTAATTTGCTGTGAAAGTTTATTCATAAAACATCTGTTTTATTGGTGGCCAAGTTTAACATTTCAAAAAAATTCAATTCAGAATTTAGTTACAAAGTGAGCAGTATGCAAATCACCAGTAAATAAGCTCAATTTAATGACCAAAATCCTTAAATCCTCAAACCCATCCCCAAGTTCTGCATCAACTGTGAGAGTGAGGCAAACGGCCATCTTCTACTGGTAACAAAAGTCTGAGCCTGTGTATTGAAGAAGCAGATGTCAGCCTTGGGGAAATAATATTAGAAGGATGACAGCACTATTGGAAAGGACCTGCAACGTACTTGATTATCTGAGACAGATGATAGGAAGGTCTAAAATTCACAAGGTAAACCTGGTGACTACCAGATCATCAAGAAGAAAAGCAACCAAAACTACACTAGAGAAGACACTGCATTTTCAAACACTGGAGCTGAGACACCTGTTAGCAAAACGATCAGATACAAAAGGAACACAATTCTGTCCTTTAGTTAATTTGATGGAACATTTGGAATGAATTGAACAGGAGTTAAATTCAAACACTGAAAATACAGTCACTCCAGTTCCCCCCACCTCAGGAGCTGACCATGGAGATTATCAAAAACTGACTTCTGTCCCTGTCCATTATCGACACTTGGATCTCCCCTTAGCTGAAGTTGAACCAGAGGCGACTGTTCCTCAGTCATATCTGTTTGAAGCCCAATTTTACGTACACAAAAATCAGTACATTTTGTTCAAAGCACTGGTGATCAGGCAAACCAAAGGTTTAGACCTACAATAGAACATTATGCAGTCAAGCCGGATTCGTCCCTTGATTCACTTCATTATTCAGCAAAAAGGTACTAACAAATTAACTGGAATCCTGGCCCATTCCCCCCACTTTATCCCCATAGTTTGGCTCAGGTTGCCAAGGTCAGTTTACTACATCATTTTTGCTATTCCAGAGATCAGCTAAGACATTTAAACGCAAGGACTTTTCCCAACTTGTAAAATATTTCAATACTGTATTAAAAATTATACTCAGCGAATTCCATCCAGCTAGATACATAGTGAAGGTCTCAGCCCACCAACATTTTGTAAGTTTGTTTTTAGTATGTTACAGTAAGCTAAGTTAGCTAAAATGTGGCACACCATACATTCATGGACCAGGTTTGAACACCATTTTGATTTCAGACTCTGGCAGAAAGCTCCCCTAAAGTGAATATGTGGCTGGCTTTCAGCTTCCTGAAACACATGTGGTTTATTCTGGAGGAGTTCTGAATCATTATTTCAGCTAAAGTTTTGTTAACAAGATGGATTAGATTCCATTATTTACATTGCACAGTACAATAGGAGAATACTCCATTAACAAAGCACTGTGTGGCAGGATGTAGATATGATCACTCGCTGTGCTGTTAGCTCCTGCAGAGGGAAACAAATGAAATCATCAGACTGCTCCTTTATAAATTGAGCTGAGGAGAGGGGCAGAACCAGCTGAACAAAGTGCAAAGGAAAACAATGGAACCAGGAGCTGATGTATGCTACTTCTGCTTTAAGAACCATTGACGTTTACAAATTTTGATGCTTATATCGTTTTTCAAAAGGTTGTTTCAACTTTACCCAACTCTGCATTTAGAAACCAGTTGGTTCCACCAAAACACTCCACACATCTAGTTTCACTGCACTGGACATACTTCAGGATTGCATATTGCTTTAATGTGCCAGTCACAATTTGATTTAAAGTGCTTGCGGATGGCCAGTGCTGGGAGATTAATTTATGCTGACAACACAGCAATTAAAAGATACATTTTCAGGTTAAGCTGTCTCCTATAGCATTGTTCACATGGCCATTCCTCACAGGGCTCAGACTGTAAGTATCCATCAGGCTATTTAAGTATGTGCTACAGCACAGGAGTCATTATCTATTTTCCTCCTATCCGAGGGATAAAGGCTCACTAAGTTGTGGCTCTATCGAAGAAGTGAACAGAGGAAGGAATGAACTGGAGATCACCATTCCTGCTGGTCTAGTATTGCTTCCTGTATCCCCTGTAAATTGATTCATGCATCCACTGTGCCAGGGAGGAAGGACACAATCTTTGTTTTTCAGTTCTCTCAAACCACAAACTACTTGAGTGTAACCATGCAGGAAACCTGCCAGATTAACAATGGACAAGGGGAGGGCAACCTTCTTCTCCTGCCAAGTTTCAATTCTCTTTCATACACAACAGACAGAAAAGTAGCACTGCACGTGCCAGAGGCCATAGCTTTTTGGGCAGGTTAGGAAAGTGGACATAGAAAATAAGTTTATTACAATCGTCCATGAAGCAAGACCACCAATAAAAAGCTTTTCTGTGGTCCTTATAATCATAATTCTAATATTCTGTCTTCATTAGCATACCTTTGTCAAACCCCAATTTCTTTCTAATTTGTCAGGCAGTATTGAGCAGCAGAGCTTACCACGATCGATATAGAATACAGAAATTCATTTTAAGCAACACTCAGTGACTGCTTGTTGACGCATTCCCAGACCAGACGAAAGAAAACAGCAGATTTACAAGTAAAATTATCCAAAGAAACTGCAGGATCTGTTTCAATTGCTCTCTTTGCAGGAGACAGAGATTAGGAACACAGCTTTGTAAGTATCCAGGTCACTGACTCTAATGGGACTCTCTCCTGATGACTGAGCTAGAACTGATTTTGTGATTCTGTTTTTTTTTAAAATAGATATAATTTTTCCTCGCTCCTGCTGCTAATCCATATAGTCAGCTATCAGGACTTGTCATTCTGTCCGTGCCCTGCAGCTGCTTTCTCAGCTTCTTCTTGGTGCATGGTGCTCAGTGCAAATCAGGTCACCGATTGTGATCGACAGTGAACTCCTCAACCTCAGCTTTCTGGGATGAGACACTGGCACTGAGGCACAGTCAGACACAAAGCAATGCTGGTGTAGGCTACAGAACATAAAGCACTTCTCAGATATTCAGGAGATACTGAGGGAGTGGATGTGGGGAGAGGGCAGATAAGGTTCAGAGGGAGTTGAGGGAAACAGTCGGAGTGGAGTGGATTGAATATCACGCATTGGCTTCTAGAGTTAAAGTATTGTAGATAGAGCAGAGGATTGAGAAGAAATTACGGTACTGTTACAATGAGGTTCTACAGGCTGCAGGGCACCATGGGGTGGATGGAGTAGACTCTGTTTCATTGTGATTGGGGTGCACTAGTGGCTAAAGATTTCAGAAAAGGACAGAGGACAGCAGCCTCAGTTATGACAAGATTTATTAGCTTTTGTGTGTGGATGGAGGCAGGATTCTCAACCACACAGATGGTTAGTCGTAGCATCTCTGGCTTACTTTACAGAACAGAGAGGAACATCTGGTTGGAAAATGGAGAATCACTTGACAGTCACCCCACAGCCATTGTATAAAACCTTTACAGGCCATCAGTCCAGTCAATATCAAAGTAGTTTCTTGATGAAAACTTCCAGCTCATCTTCACTTTTGACACCAGTGAATTTGCCCATGGCACACCCATCCTTCATGGCAATTACAGTCGGGACCACAGTCACCTGCAAATCATTGAGGAAAACACAGGAATTTTACATTTTCATTCATGCAGCTGAAAGTTGCATGTAGATCAGAGTTGTTGTTTATTGGTAAGCAGCTGAGAAGCAGATATCAACTTGGTGAGAAATCATGGAATCATGCAGCACAGCAGGTTATTCAGTCAATCATGCCCATAGTTGTTGTTTGAAAGATCTATCCAATTAGTCCCTATTCTAATCTGCAATTCTTCCCCACTTCAAATTTAGTCAAATCTCAGTTACCTATTGAATGGGCTTCTAGCATCCTTTCAGACAGCGCAGTCCAGATCATGACAATTCACTGCAGTAAAAATTCTCATTTCCCTCTGGCTCCTTTGTCATTGAGATGTACAACACGGAAACAGACACATTAAATCTCTGTCCTCTGCTTGCTCTGGTCAGTGGGGAAACTCACCCAATTTGCTCAATCAAAATCCTTCATGATTTTGTACATTTTTATTTAAATCTCTTCTGTTCCAAGGAGAACAACTGCTGAATTTCTAGTCTCTCAGCATAACTGAAATGGAAGGGGGATAAGGCTAGACCATGGCTGGAGATAGTAGAAACCTAGAATTATATTACATTTTAGTATCTTTCAAAACATTTCACATGCAATGACTAGCAATAGACATTTGATGTACCACATAATGCTGATGACAGCAATTGTGGTAGTGCACTGCTCAACCAGTTTTGCTACTGTTGAGGGGAATTGTCAGAGGGTACGTATGTGCAGACACCCACTGAAGCATCTGAACGAAAGGATGGACTTTGTTTTTAATGTTTCACTTAAAGAATAATATCGCAATAAGCAGCACTCACTCAGTGGCAAATTGCTGCCAGTTGACATTCCTGGGTAAGGCAGTAACCTGTAACCTTTAAATCCACAGGAAAACCGCACCACTAACTCAAGCCAAACTGTCACCAAGGTCACTCAAGCAATGAAACAGGGCACAGGTTTCCAGTTGTGCTATGTAGAGGGCTTTTCCAGGTTATTCAAAGATTGCCTGGAGTCAGTTTCCCCAAGGAACTCTCACCCTTGGCGCCGCCACAGGGGCACAGAGAGTAGATTGAACACTTTAACCTAAAATCATTCAGTCAAAACATTACAGGCTTCCCGCTTGGTTGGGGAAGAGAGAAAAAAAGAAGGCAGCAGAAAGCAAAGATTATCTGTGTTTATGGTGCCAGCTGTAATATTTCTAGGTACAGGAGCATCGTAAATATCACACTGGCCTTTTGCTTTAATCTCCCATAGCTTACTGAGCACACTGCAAATTTGTCTGATAGCCTCGATTTAAACCTGAAGTTCTGTAATTACGACATATTCTTGGGATTTCAAAATCTGCCTGTAAGTACTCTCTGAAAGGGCGGTGGGAGGAGATTGAAGGAATTTGAATAAATACTTGGAAAATAGTTTGCAGGACTGAGGGGAATAAACAAGCAGAGAGAATAATTGGACAACCTTCAAAAGGCATGTTGGGTCAAATAATTTTTGTAATGTTTTATTCTGTTCTATACCCTTCTCATCTCTACTAGTCTCAATGTTTCTGTAAGTACTGCTGTAGAGCGTCAAGGAAGTATGCCTTGATTTTCTGCAATGGGAGCCTGAACCTCGCACATATGGTCCCTCAACAGTCACAAACATAAATTCAGCAGCATGACAAAAATAAAACTGACATTTTCCAATCACTGACGCCTTGCTCTGTACCTCAACTTCTAGGAATTCAGTTCAGGTCAAACATTTGCTTCCAGATTTACTGCGTTCTCCAATCAGGAATCTAGGCAAGATACAATCAACCGACTGGACTGAACCCAAATTAAACAGGTCCATTTAGCTACTCCTGGGTGAGTCAGTGAGCTTCAATTCAGGGCAGTCAACTGTGAAAGCACAGATGCTGTGTATTTTGGTTAGATAAGGTTCAGTTAGCATAGGGAGGACATTTTAAGAAAGCCTGTACAAAATGGAGCACAAAATGCTCAGCTATGAATACACAACAGATTTCTTTCTCTGTCTTAATCTGGCATGAAATGCTAAATTAGGCTTTATTCAGATGTGTTTGATATACTGGGAGAGTGCCTGGGTGTTCCTGCAGTCAACTAATTTAACATACTCTGATGGATGTAAACTGGATCACTGAATAAAAATAATTTCTCAAAGCAGCGGCAGCCTGAACTATTACAGCAGGTAGACTAGTTCCAGTTGTTTCACTTTCACCTGTTTGCCTCCCTTAAATATTCTCTGCCTTAAAAACCAACTGCTCCAAAAAGAGAGGCTGAGCTAATCCAAACCTCTACTGCATGTGTTCTAAATCACACCAATCCCATGCTCACTGAACTATAATGCTGAATCAGGAGCCATTCTCAACTTTAAAAAATTCTCCCCCACATTTCCAAATATCTTCATGGCCTCACCTTTCCCCATCTCCATAACCTCCTCCAGTATTCCAACCCTTCAAGATTCTTGCTTTTCTCCAATTGTGACCTCTTGCTTTTACATATATATTTAAACATGCCAGAATATTTACTCACTGAGTCTGGGTGAAATGTGGAAATCAGTCAGAAAGTGCTAAAAATCCATCAGTTGAAGATGGTGGGGGGAGGGGGTCAGTATTCATCCTTTAATGAAGAACTGTTGCCCCAAGAAACAATGCTGTGTTTTCACAAGGAACATTATATCCTATACATTTATTGCCCTGTTGTTCTGTTGTTAAAGTTCAGGGTATATTTCATAAGTGATGTAAAGGTTAGGGTGGGTTTCTCAATCAAATCTTTTTGTACAGTTTTCAGTAATGTGATCACATGCTCATACCTGATACTCCATGGCAAGGTCTGTGTGTTCATCTATGTCTATCTTTGCCATTATGACACTTCCTTTCTGTTTTGCCACCAACTTCTCGAGTCTTGGTCCAAGAACACGGCAAGGGCCGCACCAACTGATGGAGCAAACAGAAACAAGGATGATATTTATTATTTTTGTAAAGAGCATCCTTTTATTTTTATTTTTGTGAAGAGTTTTAAAACCGGCAGTTGCAGAGATTGCTGCATGGTTTAAAAAGAAGTAACTTGATACTCATTGTGAACACTGCTTGGATAGGTGTGGGTTACAGCTATGTTTGCAGATGAACTGAAGTCAAAGGGCTGAGTACAAATGGAGTTTTGCTTGGCAAAAAGTCGCTGATTGGTCACTAGTCCTGCTTGCTAACAATTATGTGATTAGCTCTCAAGTACCTGAGCAGATTGGGGCTGTGAATAAGATAGGGCAAATCCTTCAGGCCACCGCCAGCTTAGGAACTCCATTTTCTGCAGTAAGCCACTTTAATTCCGAAGGAAACCAGTTCATCTATCCTTCAGCATTTTCTGTAATATGCAACATTTTTGATTAATAAGTCAAACTTTTAAGTGAAGCAGCCATTCTGTCTCTGGTAAACCAGTGGAAGCATCCAGAGAAGGATAACTGAGAAGCAGTCTTTTAACCAGCACAAGATCATCTCAGTAACTCTTGTGAACAGGAACCACTGAACTGTTTTACCATTTTTCCTCTGTCAACAATCCATGTTTATAAAGGGAGTTTATAAGGGGATTAAGGTTTTAATTAGTAGTCTTATATGCAGATGCCTCATAACTGTTTACCTGTGCAGAGTCTAATTACTTGTGTTGAACACTAATTCTTGTTAAGTACAGAAACCTGGCCAATGCTTTCTGTCAATCCCTGGGTTTGAAAAACAGGTAAATTGGGCAATCTTTGCATGTTTTTGAATCTTTAATTTTTGTGACGATTTTGGGAATAGTGGAGTTTGATTTCCAGTGTGCTACCCCAGTAAGACGTAACACTTTAGAGACCAAATCTCTCAAGAGTCCACTCACATCTAGGTCACAGTTTGTAGGAACTTCTTGCATTTCATGTAAATGCTCATTTGTCACTAGATTTGGCTCTGTCGTTACAGAGTAGAACACAAATTATGTCCCAAAAATATTAGCAAACACCGGGTCTGGTGACAGGACGGTCTGGTGAGAGGGAGGAACTGAAATAAATTGATATTAGGGAAGTTGATTGGATCAAAGACCATTAAATCCCCAGAATCCAATAATCTACATCATAGAATACTTAAGGAAGATGCCCTAGGAATAGCAAATGTATTTGTGCTCATCATTCAAGATTCTATACATTCTGGAACAGTTCCGATGGATTGCAAGGTAGCTAATGTAACCCTGCTTATATAAAAAAAGTAGTTAGATAGAAAACAATTGACTGGTTAACCTGACATCAGTAGTGGGGAAAATGCTAGAGTCCTTTATAAAAGATTTAATAGCAGACACTTGGAAAACCATGACAGGATTGGATGGAGTCAGCATGGATTTATGAAAAAGGAAAATCATGCTAGAATTTTAAGGGATGTAACTGGTAGAGTTGATAAGAGGGATCCATTCGATGCTGTTTATTTGGACTTTCATAAGGCTTTTGATAAGGTCTTAATAAGAGATTAGCATGTAAAAATTAAAACACATGGAATTGGAAGTAGTGTATTGACATGGATAGAAAACTGGTTTGCAAACAGAACATAAAGAGTCAGAGTAAAGTAGTCTCTTACTGAGTGATAAGCAGTGACTAGGAGGATAACACAGAGATCAATGCTTGGACCCCAGTTATTCACAATAGGTATTAATGATTCAGAATGTAATACCTCCAAGTTGCAGATGACACAAAGCTGGGTGGGAGCGTGACTGTGAGGAGGATGCAGAGATGTGATTTGGACAAGTTGTGAGTGGGGAAATGCATGGCAGAAATATGTTGTAGATAAACGTATAGTTAAAGAGAGGGTAGCTTAAAGTTACTCTATTACATTCTAAATTCCAGGGAAATAATTCCAAGTTTATGTAATCTCCCCTTATAGTTTAACTATTGGATTCCATGTATTATTCTGGTAAATGTATGCTGCATTCACTCCAAAATCATACATTTTAAGATATGGTGCCCAGAACTGCCGAGTTATTCCAGGTGAGGTCAGCAGAAGCATCAATTTTACCTCTCTGTACTCCAGATGAGACATAAAAAGCCAGTATTCCAAGAGACATTTGATTATTTTTTGTACCTGCTGTTGACAATTTAATAGTCTGCGTTTATAGACTCATAGGATTCTTCCGACCTCCCACTGCTTCTAGCTTTTCACCATTTAAAAATAACCAAAGTCACTTGTCTGTACTGAAACTTAGTCCACCTGTTCACATAATCTGTTAGTATCTTTGAAATTTTATGCTAATTATGCCACTTACAATGCTATATTTACATCAGAAGTTGTACACATGGCTTTCTATGGATACACATGGATAATGGGATAAAAATTGAATAGTTGAGATCCCAACTCAGATCCCTTCAAGACACCATTAGTCATATCCTACCCATTAGACTACCTGTAACATTATCCCCCTCTCCTGCCAATCTCATAACTGATTCAGTAATCTCTCAGTTTCACGAACTTCAATTTTAGCTAACAGTTTCTTAGAAGAAACTATATTAAATGTCTCAGGACATCCATATCAATTGTATCTGTGGATATTGCCTTGTCCACTATTTTTGTCACTCCTACTTAAGACAGGGAATTTATAGGTAAGTAAGCCAACTATTTGTTGTCAGGAAATTACTAGGTATTTGTTTCAGGAGTAAGGTCTTGCAAGTTTTAGCTATTGTTTACAAATCCATGCTAACTGTCTTGAAGCAGTTGAAAATTTAAAGCATCAGTGACTCCACCTTAAATTATGATTGTGGTGCATTACAGTTCATTCAGGGAGTCCAGGTTGCTTTGGCAACATGCACTTTGTTTGCATACACCACTGGTACTGATGGTAGAGGCTCCACCTCCCTTGCCATCACATGGCTTGACTAGAAATCTCTCCTGCTCTTGCTGCCTGCCATTGGCATATGTTGGAAGGATTTACAGGTTGATTTTCAACCTCATTGGTCGCTCTATGAACTCACCTTCCTTGGCCATCAGGTCCTGATAGAAGGCTTAAACGTGGAATTTGTTGCTCAGATGTAAGAAGTTTCCCACTATGACAACAGACCATACTCCTCAAATAAATACTCTAGTAATTTCCTGACAACAGACAGTTGGCTTACTTACCTATAAATTCCCTGCTTCCTCTCCCACCAGTCTTAAATAAGGAGTGACATGCAATTTTCCAACGTAAAGGAACATTTCCTATGTATTGGGTTGGACCCTAGGATGCACTGCAAAGTGACTCATGCAGACTTCCATCTGGCTCTGAATGAAGGCCAAACCACTGCACAGTGAGTGTGTCTTCATGCTCTCCTGCTAATGGCAACATCTCCCATTTATTGCATCACCTAGAGGTACAAGAAGGCTAATGGGAATATCAGTCTTCAAGATCCTCCTTCCCATTCTAGACATGGGCATATAATGTCATTCCTTCGTCATCTCTGGATCAAAATTCTGGAACTCCATCCCTAATGGCATTGTGCAAGACCTTACAATATAATGACATCAGTGGCTCAAGGCGATGTTCACCACCACCGCCACCTTCTCAAGGATAACTAGGGTTTGGGAATAAATGGCAGTATTACCAACAAAGCTCACAGCTTAACAATTATTATAAAATGGATTAAATCCAGTTTTGAGAGTGTAACCCAGTAAGAACCAAGTTGAAAATACTCTAACATTAATTAGCATTCACCAGGTAATTCCACTTCAAGGGCAGAGATAGTAGGAACTGCAGATGCTGGAGAATCTGAGATAACAAGGTATAGAGCTGGATGAACACAGCAGGCCAAGCAGCATCAGAGGAGCAGGAAGGCCGACGTTTCGGGCCTAGACCCTTCATCAGCAGTTCAGCTGCTGTGAAAGATGGAGTTTATCCACTTTGTTGTGCAGCTTAAAAGAGTTTACATTAGCTTCTAACCCACAGCATGGGACTGCACAATGGTAACAGCTGAAAAATATTGTGTTTCCCTGCAGGAACATCTCTCATCTGGATGAACACAAACATTCACAAAACAAGCAGCCAAGAGCAAGCAGCAATTAAGACAAAGGATCAGTACTTCCGTTGTTTCTGTTCACAGGAGGTTCAAACTTCCTCTTTCTTTCACTTAGATACAACTCTATATATTTCACATTAACACAACAGGTAGGAAATATTGAAATCTTTCCAAGCAGGATATTGTACTTCCTTTTTTCATTAACAGTCTCCAGGCTGGGGGAAGTTAAAAAAAA